GAAAAACTAGAAAACAAATCTAATAAAACTAAAATACTACAAATAACGACAATACCCTTAAAATAATTCAAAACATAAAAATGCAAAAATAGATCCCTAAACAACCGAATTTGACCTTCAAAGTTTGACAAAGTTATCCAACAAATTTATGCAAAATCGAAAGATGTTTTCAGATTGTACTCATGGGCGAAAACCCGACAACCGAGCTGAAAGTTATAACATTTTTGTCATCCTGTGCATTTTTGTGGATGCTTCATATTCATTCCTTTTTTAATTGGTTTAGGATCTTCTCTTTTAATTGATCCGTATTACTCTAGAACATGCAATGAATTCTTGTTAACTTGTCCTCTATGATTCTCATCATTCACTCTCTCTTCAAGAAGATTCGCCCTCGAATCTTAGCGTTGAAATTGAATATATTTTTCTTCTTGAACTTTCTTCAATTTTCTCTTGAATAAAACAAGATTTTAGAGTCAAAACTTTGATACTATATGATGTGAACCCATATAGTAATTGTAGCTCCAAAACTCTTAAAAGATTGAATCACAACTCTGAGAAATCTAAAATCAAGGTTTGAAGTTTGACATAATAATTTCTTGAATCAAAAAACCAAGGAAATCACTGATAATATCTTGACCTCGTAATCACAAAAACTATGAACTTTGTTATGAATTGTTGAACGTTACGAAGAGTATGAATTTTTGATAAGTTCGAATAGTTTGAAGGCTACAAATAGTGAAAATATTTGATAAGTTCTATTCAACTAAGAACAAGATATAAGTGAAAAACTTCGCATTATGATTAATTTTCAAAAAATTAATGTCTTTATTGTATAATGAATGAGCCTTTTATAGGCATAAAATAAACACCTAAATTAAAACAAATCTTTTATTTTAAAAATAAATTTAAATAAACTAGAAAATTAAAAAAATCTAAACAAAACTAAAATACTACTAACAAATTCTAAAAACAAATCCAAATAAACTACAAATCAAATTTGAATAAAAATAAAATACTTCAAATAACAAAAATACCTTAAACTAATTCAAAACATAAAAACAAAAAAATAGACCCTTAAACAATCAAATTTGACCCTCAAAGTTCGACAAAGTCATCTGACAAATTTGTGTAGAATCGAAAGACGTCTTCAGATTGTACTCATGGACGAAAACCCGACAACCGAGCAGAAAGTTATACATATTTTTTACTTCATATTTCTTCCCCTTTTTTAATTGATTTAGGATCTTCTTTTTTTTAATTGATTTGTATCACTCCGGAACATGCAACGGATTTTTCTTAACTTACTCTCCATGATTCTCATCATAATCTCTTAGGGAATGAGTGACGACTTTTGTGGATTTCATGAAATTTTATAAATTTGTACAAAATTAATGGAATTTCTTTGGATTTTCATTTTCAAATTTTTATAGATTTTTGTAAAATTTTGATGACTTTTGAAAACTTGTATTTGAAATATAAATCACTTTGATTCTCACATAAAAAGGTTGACGATTGACCTCCATATCGTTCACCCATGTAATAAAAAAATATTTTAAAAAGAAAAAACAAAAGTAGATCACTTTAATTAGAATAACTAAAATATAAAAAAATATTTATATAATATTTTAAGTAATATTTTTAAAATTTAATGACAATATAAAATCTTTTTACAAAATTGAGCAATTACTTACAATGGATATTTATTTATTTATTTATTATTATTATTATTATTTTATTTATTTATTTATTTTATTTTTTTGTAGAAAGTGAAGAGAAACAATAAAAAAGAGAGAAAAATGAAAAGGGAACAAATGTAGAAAGTGAAGAGAAACAATAAAAAAGAGAAAAAAAAATGAAAAGGGAACAAATATAATTAACAGGTAGAAGAAAGGATAGCAAACTTTAAATTATAAGTGTAATGGAAGAAGAAAGATAATATTTACAGGACAGAAAATATATAAAAAAAAAAAAAATCTTTTGTTAAAATCTCCCAAGATCTTGGGATGAATGAAAGATATATTTTGAAATTTTATTTTTGTACTTTCTAATTTAAAATTAGTACATTGGAGGCTATTATAAAAATCTTTAAAAGTTATTAAATTTTTGAATACCATAAGATTTTTAGAGACTCCTAAAAAAATTTAATTAAATACTTCAAAACTTTACAAACTTTTCAAAGATAAAAAAAAAAAAATTCAATTGAATACGTTTTATAAAAGTTTCAATTGAATATCCTTAAATTTTTTAAATCCTTAAAAATCTTTAAGGATGGTGTGCTTAATTGAGACTTCTAATGATTTTTTGGGATTAAAAAGATTAGAGTATTCAATGTAAACGTTTTTGAGACTCTCTGAAAGTACTGGTGTATTCAATTAAGATTTTTATAGATTTTAAAATTTTTCTAAAAGTCACAATATATTCAATTAAAACTTTTTAGGAGTTTCTACAAGTATTTGGGTATTTAAATTTTATTAAATTTTAGAGACTTTTATTAAAGTATCCAGGATACTAACTTTTAAGCGAAAAGTACTGAAATAAAATCTTGAAATTTGTCTCTCAATAATCACAAGATTTTGGGAGACTTTTATGAAAAAAAAAATTAATATATTTTTTTTTCAACATTTCTCTTTCCTTGTCCCTTCTATGAAAATTAGAATTGTGATTAAAATTTGTTTTTTTCCATTAACTATATTTGTTTCTAGTTTTCTTTTTTTTTTTCCTAAGAAAAATTTAAATAGATTCTTATAACATTTTTTTTTCTTTTGTCATTCATTTTTAATTAATTTATAAAATGTTATATAGGCTAATCTGTAATTAAATTTAAATATATTGATTTTTATTTATTCTGTATATTATATTAATAATACTGAATATTAAATTTATTTTTTAGTGGTTATTATTTATTTAGTTAAGGTCTTAAATTTTTATTCTTTTTAAAATATTTTTTAATATATGGGGCGGGGAAGAAGAAAGAGAATTGTGGGAATAAACACCTCTACTATGAGAATTTCACACTATTGTACTAGATTCATGTGAATTTTATTTCAAATGAAAACCTTCAAAAGTTTTTAGAATTCAAGAAAAGCTTATACAAATTTTAAAATGAAAGTTCATAGAAGTTTATGAAAGACTTCTATTAATTTTATAAAAATTTCACGAAATCCACAGAAGTTATTACTTAAAAAAAGTTTATGAAAGCATTCAAAAGTCCCAATTGAATACACTCTCCTAAAATATTTAAAAGTCTCAATTGAATACAACCTTTAGATATGAAATTTTTCCCTTTTTAAATGATGTCCAGACAAGCAAACCAGAGTTTTAAGCTTCTAGATTCGAAATTAAGATTTACCCTTTTTTTTTTTGTTCAAATTTCAGATGATAATTGATATTTTAAATATTAATAATTATAGTACAAAATATTTAATTCATCTTACCTATCTCATACCCAACCATCCATGCAAAACCCTATCTTTTTCATCATCTCTTATTTTTCTACTCTCTCTAACTGACCTTATACCACTCCATTGCAACCATTGGTCATCTCAAGAAGCCATCGCCAGAGATAGTCTTAGACGGCGTCATGGCCCGATCTATTGATGCTGTTGCGCGTTCTTCCTTCTTGCTCCATTGCAATTTTTTTTTTCTAACTATGATGGCTAATGGTTTTTTGTGCGGTATGAATGTGTTGTGATGGCAATGGGTCGAGCCGGGATTTAACCCACGAGCTCAGCTCGGGCTTGTGGCGAGTCGAGCTCGTGGCTCGTGAAAAATGAGCCGAGCTCGAGCTAGGTTCGTTGCTCTGGGGCGAGCTCGGCTCGACTCACGAGCTCGTGAGCTCATGAGCCACAAGCTCGTGGGCCGAGTAGAGCCGAGCCAAGCCCCCGAGCCGCTTGCGAGCTCGTGTTTTTAAAAAAAAAAAAAAAATTTGCGCATTTTTTTTTTAAATTTTCATATTTTTGGATGAGCCCAGGAGCCGAGCAGGCTCAGCTCGTGGAATCGAGCCCCCTGCTCGGCTCGGGCTCGTCATTTGACGAGTCCGAGCCGCCCACGAGCCGAGTTTTAACGAGTCGACGAACCACTCGGCCTGTTTGACATCCCTAGTTGTGATGTTGGTATTGTGTTGTGGTGGTAGGGGTGGTCTCAAGAAGCAATTGTCGGAAAGCGCCGTCGACAGCACCATTGCCTTATCTGTTGATGCTGTTGTACATTCTTCCCTCTTACTCCATCGCGATCTTTTTTTTTATTTTCTAATTTTGATGGCTGATGGTTTTTTGTAGGTTTTATTGTAGTGTGATACGGGTGCAGTGGTGCGGTGTGCATGGTGGTGGTAGTGTGCTATGAGGAGAGAGTTTTATAACCATTTATTTTGGTAGCCATTGTGGTGCAAGTGATAGTGTTCCACAGTGGTGCATGCGATAGTGTTCAACGATGGTGTAGCGATGGTATAGATGGTGGTGCTGGCAATGGTCTTCAGCAGTGGTGGACATGGTGTATATGGTGGTTGGTGTTCATGGTGCTATAGTTTTGTTTGTTTGAGATGGTGAAGTTGGTGATATTGATGTCGATTGTCGTAATGTGAAGGTAGTGGGGGTGGTTCTGGTGGCAGTGTTTTGCCAAAGGAGCGGTAGCAAATTATTTAATTGATTGCGACCAATAAATTGATTAATGTGTGATCTATAAATATTATGTGACGAACATCGATATAAATTGTGTGACCTAAAAATGTGTTAAATTTTGATCAATATTTTGTTAACTTTAATTTGATAAATTTGTGATCGAGAAATAAGTTTGTGACCTATAAATTTGTAATTTGTAACGAAACAATTTTAGTGACCAAATTATATAAGATTTGTATATTATTTTATAAATAAATTTTTATTAATATTTAATTTTTAAAATTTTAAACATTGTTTCTTAATTTTGAAATTGGTTATAGTTATTCTCTTACAAAATGGAAATTTCCCTTACAAATAGTGGAAATATTTGTGAAGCCCAATTAAAACTCAGACCTTCGGAAGGAAAACACGTTTCTGTTTAGCGAAGGGGAAGAGCGGCTCAGGTTTTCTCTCTCCGTATTACACTAAAATTGGGAACATATTCATCGCCCCTTCGTCACCAATTTATCTTATGTTGCAGAGATTTCTACTCAGCTTCTTCATCACCCATACTTGGAAGGTAGTAACGGATTGTATTAGTGTTGAAACGGGCTTTATATGTTGAAATCGACTAGATTTGTTTGTTGCGAATGATTTAATTTGAACTCAACTTATAATTTATTTTATTTTTCCAGAATTGTTGTTTCTTGATGGTAATATTTCTCAAGCAACATGATTTTTTCAACAATATTTCTCCTGAAATTTTTGATGCGGTTGTTTAGGGTTTTCCATTGACTTGAAAACTGGCTGCCTCTCAAGTGTATTAGGTGAAATACGTGTTGTTGGTTGCATTTTAATTTGAAGATCATTTTCTTGACATGGGCAGGTGAATTGTTCTGGCTGAATATCCTTGATCAGATACTGGATTTTGTTATCAGGAAACTCTTTACTTGTTTCTCCCGGAAACAGCTGTAGAGGAGGTTAGAGATGGATTTGGAGACGGAGAATAAAATAGCTGCTATTCTTTTGAAAGAGGCAGCAGAGCTGCGACGACAAGCTGAGAAGGAGGGCGTGCATGCTTATATTCATCAGCCCACGGTTAGGGGACGCCCCAATTCACGTTTCTTGACTGCAACTGTTCTTGGTGTACAACAAGGTTAGTTTCCGTTGCTATGAAAATGGTTTCTTTTTTGTTTGTGTCCAAGTTTTACTTTGTTAACCTAGATATCTAGGGTCTTCTCTTTTATATGGAAAACGTGAACAAATGTTTAGCTTTATTGTAAAATGTGGTTTTAATTCTTATTTTGCTATCCCTCCCACCTTGCAACTATGACCTAACTGTTTATCTGAACATCGAAAGCCACTGTGTGAAACAACATCCTTGTATGCCAAATTACCACCGTTTAAAAATTCTGGCTTCGAATTCTTCCCAAGGATTTTCTGCACATATTAGATCATCCAAGCATTAACACTGCAAAGATCAATGCACCGATTGAAATACAATAGAGTTGTTATTCACTAGTTATTTTAGACTCTTCCCAAATCATCTGAAAAAGAAGAAGAAGCATCACTCTGTCATGGCATGTCTTTGGTCCCTTTATGGTCATTTGGATGGTTTTGTTCAGTACAGTAACTACTGTAACAATGTCTGTGGCCCTATCTTTTAGACCTATCATAATACTTTTAAATTTTTATATTGTGTAACCAGGAATGTACGTTAATGAAACAGATAGGAAATTCATATGTGCTACTTGTACTTAAAGGAGCCAAAAATATTGTGGACTAGGTCCATAATGTTGTTTAGAGATTTTGGGGATTTTCAGTGTCTTTAAGACTTATGGTCTATAGTTTTAACTTTAAACACTGTTAGAACTGTGAGAATTTGTATGTGCATGAAATAAGCTGAGGTATCATTTATCATTTAGGATCAGAACCAATTTTTGGTATTTCGCAGAGTTCCATTGAGATTGGTGTTCTTGTTGGATTTGTTCTGTTCTGTTCTCTTATTATGTCTTTACATTCTGCATTTGAAAATGTTGTTCTCCCAGCAAATCGTGCTGTTGAAGTAAATGAAATGTGGCGGTTAAGGCAGAAAGAGAAAGAGCTGGATAGTAGGCTCAGAGGGTCAAGAAATGGAAGTAGCAAGAGGAGAAGTGGCAGCGATGTTTCCAATACTTCCAGGAGTACAAGTAGGGAATACTATGACAATGAGTCACATTCAAGTGCTTCATCTTCGTCAAAGAAAAGAGTTACCCGGGAGAGTCATCCAAGCAAGGACGATGGTCTAAAGGACGATGAGATGGAGGAATTTCTACATGCAAGGTATCTCTTTGCCCGCAGCCCCCTACACATTCTCTCTCCCTCTGCTCTCTCCGCGCATGCACGATTCAAGTTGTGCCCTGTATTGTATGGGTTAGTCACTCTTCTAGACTCCATGGTATATTTAAGTCTTATTGTACTATTTTCTGGATGGCAGGATCAAGCGAGGCAGGGGTGATGTTGGATCAAGGATGGATGAAACTGGCCCATACCTTCCTACTAGTCCAAATTCCAAGCAAAAACAGTCAGGATGCCCCGATGAAGAGCTTAGAAAAAAACGTATTTTGATAGGTCCTGAAAAGCCTTTTTCACTGAAGTCAGATGATGAATCTTCTCAAGATAAGAAAAAGAAGGCAAAGATGCTAGGCTCAAGCAAACGTCACTCTAAGAAATATACATCCAAAGAAAAGTCGAAGGACAAGGAGAGAGAGAGGAGGGAGGAAAAAAAGAGAAAACATCACAAATGATGGTTTTATGGCATGTGTATTGTTTTTCAGCTAGGTCGTTATAACTTGTGATCATTTATGTTATTTCGTAATATATTTCTTGTCTGTACATGTATGAAAAATGTTTTTGTTTAGTTCTATCAAAAGAATAATTTGTAAATTCTTTTTTCTTGTCTTTTCTTTAATATCCCAACTTTGGACAACCTTTCTAATTCTTGTTATATGGATGTTTGATATGGAGTCAAGTATATGAATGCAAACTTTATATTTAGTACTTAATTTCTTTTGTGGATACTATAGTTAGATCCTTAACTCATATAATGTGGATTGAGTTGCCTCTGTCGTGTGGGCTAACTTTGATGGAACTGTCTTTTGTGAATTGATTCTTCTCGAAAGCTTCCAATTTCTTTTCTTTGATTACTATACAAGAAAAATAGGTACATGCATGGTATACCTTAGGTGAACACTAAAAAACAATGTTAGTCCCTGTTTGTTTCCCATTATTTGTCTATTAAAATGAAAAATATGATCATTATCTATCACATCAAGTCATTATATTTGACTTTCTATCACTTTTATGGGGTCCATAACGATTATATTTTTCATTCTTATTCTTACATTAATGTGGCTCAAATGGGATCATAATCTTGGTGCATTCTTATATTATTCTTGCAGGTCAGTACAAATTCAAGAATAGCCGATGCAGAAAAGCTCATATATAAAGACAAATATCGAGACTTAAAATTCTATTTTATTGAGGTCAGATGAAGAATATTTCAAGATAAGAAAATGAAGCGAAGATGCTAGGCTAAGGAAACATAAATCCAAAGAGAAGTGGTAGAATAAACGACGGTTTTATGGCTTTATCATTATTTTTCGGCAAGTTCATTCTCTTGTGATCATACGTGTTATTTCTGATTATGATTATTGTCTGTGCATTATACGAAAAAATTGTTTATGTTTTGTTAGAACAAAAGAATTAATTGTAGATTCTTGGGCTTCTTCCAAGGCGAGTACGATGTTTCCTATCGTGTGTTCACTGTTGAAGAACTTAATAAAGCAACGAACTTAGATTTCACTGGGTTAAGAAGTTACTTTTCCAGGACAAGTTATGGCTGATGAATGAAACGGGCTATTACATCAGCAGTACTTTCCAGAAACGCTCAATTCTAGTAAAAATGTTTTCAGAGACGGATGGCAGTCCTATTCTATCAATGACATGGTAGTCAAGTTGCAGATGAACCGTCACAAAAATGTTTTGAAGGTCTTGGATTGCTGATTATATTTGAAAATACCTGCTTTATATCTGGATATGGAAGCAATTATACACTTTTTCCGTTTCGATATTCTTTTCAACAAGAAAGAAGTGAACTTTGAGAAAAATGGTAGATCACTCTCTTGAAGTAGTAAGACTAGAAACTGAACAAGATTTTGCAAATGCTATCGCTTACTTTCATACTGAATTTCGCACGCCTATAATCCATAGAGATTTAGCCGCAAAAAACATTATCATGGATCATTATGGTGTTGCTAAGCTCCTAAATTTCTCACCGTGCATATCGGAGAATCAGAGATAAAGATATCCTTGTTGGGATGGTGTCCTTGAACCCCACTACTTTAGGACAGGCATTATTACACAGAAGTGTGATGTCTACGTGTTTGGAAAGATTCTCCTCAAACTCTTAATTGGACACCGGGCTTATATTCTATATCTTAAACCTATTTCTTTGGAGGGCTATGTTAAAACCACGTTGACTAGGAGTCGAGTAAAATTTTGGACCTGACAATTTTGGGGGAGAGATGCAAAATAGAGCACGATAATCAATTGCAGGCTTTCTCTAAACTTGCTCAGAGATGTTCTCGTGACAAAGGAGCAGATAGGCTGGACGTGTCAATGTGGCAAAAGAACTCGTACTGATTCTGAGGTCTGTTTATCCACTTTAGCACACTAAAGTACTTGCAATATGGTCATTCCTCTACATGGGCATTGCAGTAAGAAGTTGACAAGTTGATGCCATGATTTGTTACAACTTATAATGACTATAACTCTTCATATTGGCGGTGCTTGTTCTCCATTTATGTTTATAAAACTTTACTTGAAACTTTCATGATGATGATGGCCATCATCCATGACGGATAACGAATGCCATAAAATGTTAATATGAAGTTGATAATCGACTGGTGCGATGCACAAGGGTGCAACATTAATTTATCCTTGCAGGACAGTCCAAATTCTAAGAAGGCCAGTGCAGAAAAAGTACCAAAGACAACCAGTGAAGCTTAAAAATACTGTTAAATTAGGAATAGCATATAGAAGTAATTGTAGGAGAGATCAAATGACAGGTATATATGGCTAGATTAAGTCTATCCATCAAGATTTCTGTAATTCCAATCTTGAAGTAAAAATCGAGTCTGCAGATCTTTTCAAAGTTTATGGATTTTGTAAGAATGTAAACCTGGAGAAAAATTCCGCGAGACAGCAAATTTTATTCTCAATTTGTCATGTTTTACAGCACAAGACGGCATCAATAACAACGAGATGTAACTTACGAAAGAACAAACAAAATAGTGGCAAGAATAGAAAATGACATGTTTATTATACTAATCATAAGAGGACAGTAAACTGAGGGTTCCAGGAAGATGCAGCAAGAATCATTGTAAATAAATATTAGCAGCAACAATGATCGAAAAAGAAAAGTTCTTTGGGATAGCCAAAAAAACTCAATAGATGTGGTGTTCTGCGTTCATCTTTTTCAAATTTTGATCGTCTCTCCTGCAAATCTTCTTCAGATTGTCTCTTGTTTTTTACGCAATGAAAGCAAATTATGCCATGTTTCCGGTATCATCAGGCTCGATTACATGAAATTTATTGCAAGATTTGTATAGGCTGGATTTTTAGCATGCTGTATTAGTTTTGGTCTTCTTTGGTTGGATGACTTTTTGCTTGGTTCTCCAAGTAAAAAACCTTTCTGGTTATCAGTTGATCTCTACTTCCTGGGATTGTCATATGATGCAAAACATTCATGGTACGAGTAAAAAAATCGTGTCAATCTTTATGCCAAGAAAGGAGGAACAAGAAAAATTATTGCATTTTCAGAAGAATGAAGGTGTATGCTATTAGAGGAGCTTGTCACCACCTTTGGTGCAAGATATAAGAACTCTATCTGTAACATAAGCGTCAATGAGCTCGTCAGGGCAACACAAGGCAGACATCTTCGTATTGACATGCCAAATGATTTTTGATTTCATGTCGATAGGTTCATTGGAAGAACGCCCTATTTTAGTCAGGAAATGCACTGCTCGGATCCTCAAAGAAACCGTTCGCGATATAGCAGCTACTCCACAGATGAGCCACCACAAGAATGTGTTGAAACTCATTGGCTGCTGCACAGAATTTGAGTGTCCAGCTCTCATTTACGAATATTCAGGAACTGATTTGCTTTCTGATCTTCTCCACGAACCAAGAAATCATCAAATACAGTCTTGGAAAAGCAAATTACGGATTGCAAATGACATTGCGAATGCAATTGCTTATCTTCACACTGGATTTCAAACTCCACTCATTTATAGAGGGCTCAATCCAGGTAAAATCATCTTGGACAACGATAACATTGCTATACTATTTGATTTCTCACTTTGCATATCACTTCCTCCTGGAGAATTGCATATCGAAGTTGATGGTCAAGTCGGAAGACTCAATTCTCTTGATACTACACCGTCTTCTCGTTTTATAACTCAAAAAACCGATGTTTATAGCTGTGGCGTGCTTATGCTTATGCCTTTAACGGGACAAAGAGCAATGTGGAGAGATCAACAAGGTAAGCTTGTAAATATTATTAGAAGAAATGTTGAATCATCTCATTCCATCAAAAATGATCTGTACAGTGTGGTATAAATAGACAATCATTTAACAGACTAATTACAAGGGCTAATACAAAATTGACATGTGAACTAGCTACCCTAACAACTAACTAACTTTCAACTTCAATTGGTAAGTGACTATTTCTTCCAGTTGCTTCCATATTTTCTGTTATGGCCCCTCAAGATGGACAGTGAGGATTGATAATGGCCATCTTGGACATCAATGGAAATAACAATTTGGCAGGTAAAGCTTTAGTGAACATATTAGCTAGTTGGTGTTGAGTGCGAACGGGGAGAAGTTTGATCGAACCATCAGTGATTTTGTCTCAGATGAAGTGACAATCGGTCTCAATATGCTTGATTCTCTCATGAAAGATGGGATTGGTAGCAATATGAATGGCTGCTTGTTGTCACTAAATATCAAAGCAGGATTATGAGATGGAACTTGAAGATCAAGCAATTGTTTAATCTGGAGAAGTTCACGGGTGGTTGAAGCTAAGGATCTATATTCAGCTTTTGCTAAGGATCGAGACAAGGTGTTTTGTTTCTTAGCTTTCTTAGATATCAAAGAGTCACCACGGAAGACACATAAACCAGTAATTGATTTCCTAGTATCAATGCAAGAACCCCAATCTGCATTAGCAAAAGCACGAAGCTGGAAAGAGGATTGAGCTGAAAATAGAAGGCCTTGTCCTGGAGTAGCTTAAGATATCGGAGCAGCTAGTGAACAACATTGAGATGGGATTGCCTGGGTTGGGAAAGAAACTAGCTTAGCTTGTGGATGGCAAAGGTAATATTAAGCCTAGAGATGGTTAGATATAGTAACCGGCCAATCAATCTCCTATACATAGAGGCATTAGCAAGTAGGTCACCTTCAAAGGAGCGTAAATGAACCTTTGGATCCATAGGCAAAAGAGTTGATCCGCAGGCCATGAATCTAGTATTTTCTAAAATTTGAAAGCGTATAATGATGTTGAGATAGGAAAATCTCTTTATGAGATCGAACAATTTCCAGTCCAAGAAAATATTTCAATTGGCCAAGGTCCTTGAGTTTAAAATGACTATGGAGAAAAATCTTTAAGGAGTTTGTGGCTTGGCAATCAAAGCCTGTTATGATAATAATCAACATAAACCAGTAAAGCCACAAATGAATTCCCAGTTCCTTTAGTGAACAAAGAATAATCTGATTTCGACTGATGATAACCATGTGAGGTAAGTGTTGACCTCCAAAATTGGCTCCAACAGGTTTCCTAGCCTTGTCCCCTCGAAACCTGCACAAGTAGCACCCCGTCAAGAGGTAAAGGCGGTCAGACGAGAAAAAGGTCAAGTCAATGGCCGGATGGAGATAAATATATAGAGTGCAATAGTATGGAGATGGAGGTTTGGCTAGAGAGTGTACAACATACCTTAGTTGTGTGAGTGAATCCATATATATTGAGAAATGGAAGTGAAATGGACCAAACAGGTTGGTGGGCCGAAGTCCAAGCCTAATAAGGAGATGATCATATGAACATAATAATAGGCACTTCGACGAGCGCCTCGACTGAACTCCTTAGGGCCTCAGTGGCGCCTTGGCTAGCCTCGTCAGAGCGTCGGCTTTGGGGCCCAATTCTGATGGGCCTCGTCCGAGTCTAATAAGATGGCCAAATATGAAGTGGTAATTTATAGGCATAATAGTAGTCCCCAAGTTCGAGTCGTATTATTTATATGCAGGTCGGACATGAAATATAAACTGTCAAGTAGGCGAGGTCTTACATATTACCTCAGAAAGATGGGTAGCTCCAATAAGTGAGGACTTACGAACGGCCTCGAAAACATGCATTGATCTTGAATAGGAGAGGACTTACGAATTGCCTCGAGAAATATGAGTCGCTCCAATAAGTGAGGACTTACGAACTGCCTCAGAAAATGTGTGCGAGTAAGAATAAGTGAAGACTTACGAATTGACTCGAAAGATATACTGCATATATTTTTTCGAAATTTCGGCAACATCTCCTCTGTAATATGGACTAAACTAATCCTGTAATACAATACAATGTATCCACAACACATATACCAAATAAATTTGGGTTCCATTTGCCCCTTCAAATGCTCATAACTATAAGGTGTGACATATCACATTTTTTCAAGATATGTGCAAAGGGTCTGCCATGCATTATAGTAAATCACGTGCTCGCACAGCTCAATGTATCAGGAGTGTTATAGTAAAGCAAGTAACATGATGTTGACAATAAAATGAAAATGATGATAACACGACATACGTATTGGCTGTGATGAAAATAATGTATGACATGCTAGCAGTGATAAGGCATTCATGCTTGGAAGCAGTAATGTGATGCGTATGCTAGCAGTAATATAAAGTCCCCCAAGTCCGAGTCGTATAATTTATATGCGGGTCGGGCTTGAAATGTAAGCTACTGTGCTAAAGTTAATGTAAAGACGATGCTCTGAATGTAAGTAACATAGGTGACAGGGGCGATGAGTTGGATGCAGAGGCAATACTCTAATTGTAGTAGCAAAGGCGATGCTCTGGACACAGTAGCAGAGGCGATGCTCTGGATGTAGTAGCAGAGACGATGCTCTGGGCACAGTAGCAGAGGCGATGCTCTGGATATAAGTAGTTGTATTGATGCTGAAGCATACTGATGTATATCAGTCGTTGACTTTTTAAGATTAGCTGAGTATATGGTTGCAGCTGCGGTTGTAGGTTCAACTATCTCTACTGAAGCGCTGACTCATAGGACGACGCGTAGGAAATGCTGAAGCTTGTGAAGCTGAAGGTCGGGACACATCTTCAACTGAGGCCCTGAAGCTTTGATGCTGTTTGAGGAAAGAGCTCATCTGCCACCGGTACGCTGACCCACAGAAGACGACACGTTGGGAGACGGCTAAAGCTTTGTAAAGCTTAGGAGAGAACGCATCCACCGAGGCGATAACCCACAGGGGACTCCACGTCAGGTGCGTCTAACCTTTGTAAAGCTGAGTGAGGAGCTCATCTGCCACCGGTGTGCTGACCCATAGGGGATGACGTGTTAGGAGATGGTTAAATCTTTGTAAAGTTTAGGAGGAAACGCAGCGATCGAGGCGATGACCCATAAGGAACTCTGCGTCAGGTGCTTCTAAACTTTGTAAAGTTGAGTGTGGAGCTCATCTGCCACCAGTGCGCTGACCCACATGAGATGACGCGTTGGGATATGGCTAAAGCTTTGTAAAACTTAGGAGGGAATGCAGCGGCCTAGGTAATGACCCACAGGGGACTCCGCGTTAAGTGTGTTTAAGCTTTGTAAAGCTGAGGACATCTGGTGAGGCAGTGGATAGATGTCCCGCGAGTAACTCGAACTATCGGAGCCATAAGCAGCCTCGGAATGTAGAGGACTTAGAACTCTGCTCGACGATAGTGAAGCGAGGAGAATACATCTCACGAAGCCAGGGATAAACATCTAGCGAAGTGTCGAACTATCGGAGTTTTATAAGCTGGCCTCAAGTAGACGAGGGCTTAAAGCTAAGCTCGACGATAGAGAGGCGAGGAAAAGACATCTCGCAAAGCCAGGGATGAACATCTGGCAAAGTATCGAATTATCGAAGTTTTATAAGCTGGCCTCAAATAGAAAAGGACTTATAGCTAAGCTCGACGATAGCGAAGTGAGGAAAAGACATATCGCGAAGCCAGGGATAAACATCTAGCAAACTGTCGAACTATCAGAGTCTTTATAAACTGGCCTTGAATAGAAGAGGACTTAGAGCCAAGCTCGACAATAGTGAGGCGAGGAAAAGACATCTTGCGAAATCAGAGATAAACATCCGACGAACTGTCGAACTATCGGAGTCTTATAAGCTGGCCTCGAGTAGAAGAGGATTTAGAGCCAAGCTCGACAATAGTGAGGTGAGGAAAAGACATCTCGCGAAGTCAGGGATAAACATCTGGCGAGGCGGGGAATAAACATCCCGCGAATAAGGTCAGGAAAGACTCTTTTTGCAAGGGCAAACACGTCTGGCGATTTGCCTATTCCTTTTTTTAAGGAACGAGGACTCCAAGATATATCACCTATTCCTTTATTCAAGGAGCGGGGTACTCTAAGAGATGTCGCCTTTGATAACAAGATTTCCATAATTTAGGGCTTGACTTGAGTAATTAGCATGATCAATGGGGCTTTTAAATAAGAGAGAACCAAGCTACATATTTTGTTGAACACTTGGTGTTCATAGTCGTAATTCCTAATTTCCTTAATTGCTTGTATTCGTGCAAAACTTAGGAAGTCATCATGTTCCATCTTTACAATCTAGTGCAAGAATCACAAAAGAATATCAAAATCTTCTTTTAAGGAATTTGAACAACTAGTAGCATAGCAATTGGCTGAGCCCTTTTCTCAAGCTTCATTTAATTATTTTTCTAATTCATAGAAACCAAGTTGTATACTGTCTTTTGTAGCCCAATAGAGATGAGCAATAATTCAGGTCCAAAGATACAAGAGGCTCATATGGTAATTAACTCACTTGACATGCTCTTTGCATCACTAATAATCTATTTTTACCAATATATTAAGCAGCCTACTCTTTATGGTTTAGGATTAAAATGAGAAAAGTATTGTGTTAGGCCCATTTAAATTCTTATCGGGTCAAATAGCAGGAGGCCCAATCAAAATTTAAAAATCTGTAAATGGGAATAATTGTGGCAGGCCAATAATAAAGTTCACAATTCACCCGTGTAAAATATAAAATTAGCTCCAAACAAGTCCTTTGAATTGGTCAAAGTCTATAAATTAAATTGCAAGAAAAGACCATCCATTACCTTGCCCAACTAGGAGTCTGCAAAAGCTGAGATAGGCAGCACATTTAGATTGAAAGGCATGCCACCATTAAGGTCATACTCCCATTAGCATTTAATGTGGAGTAAAAAATCAGACCAAGCACACCGCACTTCCCTACGATATATTGCAATTATCGATTGCCGGAGATGGCCACGGGCATTGGCTTTTAACCAATTTTCAAGGGCTTCGGCTGGCATCTATATTTTTTGCCCAGGTGACAATTTAAACCCCATTTCAAGCTCGAACATGTTTACGGAAGTGCTTGCAAACATCTGTATTAAAGAATGAATAATGCTTGCAGCATTTTCAAAATTTTGGATAGCCACGTGAGTGATATGTTCCATTCTTTCTCTGAGGCGGCTATCAAAGAATATTTATCCCCTAAGT